GATATATTGTTTTAATATTTTGTATTTGTTTGTTGTTATTATATTTGTTTGTTTTAGCTTTTTAAAGAGAAAATAAAAGAACCAAAAATAATGAACGATTGAGAAATTGAGGGTGTCTTTCATTTTACAAGCCTAATACTTGGAGTGAATCCCCCTCAATGAATCACAAACATATCCAAGAAATTTTCTATCCACTATATGTGATTACAATATTTTGACTTCTTTTGATTATCTTAATGTTGTCTTCTCCATATTAGTGGTCTCATCCTTCTATTTATCTCTCCTTTCCCATGTTTGTTCACACGCAACTCTTTTCTTCTCTTCTCCTCGTCTTCTCTTCTCCTCGTCTTCTCTTCTCCTCTTCCTTCCTCGACTATCCCCTCTCCTCTTTCTCTCTTTTCTCTTCCTCTCTCTCTCTCTCTCTCTCTTTCTGTCTCTTTCTCTCTTTCTCTCTATTATGTCTGTCTCTATCTCCCTCTCTCTCGCTTTCGGTGTCATCTCTCTCTCTCTTTCTCTCTCGCTTTCGGTCCCCCCCCCTCTCTCTCTCTCTCTCTCTTTCTGTTCCCCCCCCCTCTCTCTCTCTCTCTCTTTCTGTTTCTCTCTCCCCCCCCTCTCTCTCTCTCTCTCTCTCTCTCTCTCTCTCTCTCTAAATATCAGGGTGAGTCTACAGTACGATCTGACATTCTTATGCCGATAGAAATGATCTTCACTGTTGATCAGAGGGTTCGGGATGATATACATCATGCTACTGACACTTATCACAAACTGGTAGGTTGCCTTCATCACCCTTCTCACCAGTCACGGTTCTGGGAGGTTTGGGGGCTTAAACCCCTGCCCCCCCCCCCCCGAAAAAGAAAATCAAGCCCCCCCCCCCCCCCCTATGAAGGAAAGAGCTTGGATAAATGAGGCACATGTAGAACCAGGGTCGGAGATTAAACTCAAGAGTTCAAAATAATATCAAACAAAAGATTCGAAATAAATGATACTAATTTAAATTCTCAAATTGATGGACAAAAGAAAATACCCCCCCCCCCCCTCGAAGGCAACTTGGATTATGCGTTAACTCTAAACTATGGTGGCCCTGAAGGGACACCTGTCGTGACATTTATTTCGATAAGTTCCGGCGCAGACAGATGTGCCCGAAAGCATTGATTTGGCGTTACCGTGAGAATGGTCACAATCAGATATTGGCACTATAATTATTGATCAGGAATCAAGGAATGTACATTTATATATCTAGTAATCCTTTTTTCTTCTTCATAAAGGCAGAATAATGTTGCACAATATTCAAGAAATGTATGCATTTCATTTTTTTTCCCGCTACCCCACCATTTCTAAACCTCCCTTGTCATTTAGGCTTCCAACTATGAAGTAGTGTATAGTACTTACAAACTTTTTGGCAAAGACTTCATGAAGGAACACAAGATGCATCCAGATGCAACAATACAGCTAGCTCTCCAGCTAGCCTACTATACAGCGTTCGATAAGTAAGTTTTCATCTATAAGCAGTCACATTATCAATTCATTTTCAACTGCATACTTGCTATACACCTTTGAAAAGGGAGATAAAATATTTAAGGATAGATTTTCTTTTAAAGGAACTAGATTGTTTATGTGTTCACCCAACATTAAAAGCGTCAAATTATTATATTTTGAAATAAGAAATTACATTAAAATTTTCAATTCTGCAAAAGGTATGTGCCAAGTTGTAGAACAATTGACTAGGCAATAATCGATCTACTCTCTCTCTCTCTCTCTCTCCCCTCCCCCTGCCCGGCCTGTCCCCCCCCCCCCCTCTCATCGCCCCCTCCCTGCTCTCTCGTTCTCTCTTTCTTTATGTCTCTCTCTTTCTCTCTCTCTCCCTTTCTGTTTCTCTCTCTCTCTCTCTCTCTCTCCAATTCCCTCCGTCCCCACCCCCTCTCTCTCCTTTTCTCTTTCTTTCTTTCTCTTTTCCATTCTCTACCTCTTTCTTTGCATTTCCAGACCTGGTGCAGCATATGAAACAGCAACAACTCGTCAATTCTACCATGGACGAACAGACACAATGAGATCTTGTTCCATGGAAGCTATTGATTGGTGTAAAGCTATGCTGGACAGTCAGGCAGATGTAAGTACGTATTGATAGAAACAATATACAACATATTATACATATAAGAATAAGAATATGTAATATTATTATATCTTATAATGATATCTTATTCTCATATATGAGTAGTTTTTAAACAGAATGTCCCCTCGCATTTTCTCGCATTTAACCGAATTCTGAATCCGCCCCTGGTTCCAGAGGCAAAGTATCCCTGAGCCCCAATGTATTCTTAGCATCACTTCACACTTATACACGCAAAAAACTGAGGTGCTAAATGTTGGGTGCTGAGTGAGATTCTGCACTTGAAGTGCCAAAATCAGCACTTGACGGGTTAACTTTAACAAGGAAACCGAAACGTGCTGAATATTTGAGTGCAGAAAACGAGTGCTATAACAATATGCAGCACTTAACATCGAGTGCTGACTGCATAACCTGGTCTGATTGGTCGGTTAGTATAATAGCTGTTACCTTGTGAATATTTGTTTTTGAATCAAATTCAGCTAAGAGATTCTTACATTCTTCATTCTCCAGGTCAATACCCAAGGCCTCAAAAGTCTCAACAACATCAGTATTCAAAGCTGTTGCAGCAGATAACACTCTGTTTGTCATAGCATGGGTCATGTTGGTGTTTGATAAAAGAGAACCAATGAAAAATGCAGCTGGTCTCACTATGAACATGACAAACAATGAAAGCGGACAAAATATACAGTTCCTCAGGTAGACAAAGGAACATCCCTTGACTGCTATTATGTAAAATGTGTAGAACAGGTGAATATGCATGTGACACCTGTTCTACACATTTTTACATAATAGCAGTGAAGGGATGTTCCTTTGTCTACCTAAGGAACTGTATATTTTGTCCGCTTTCATTGTCTGTCATATTCATAGTGTCTTGTACTGTCATTATGCATTGCTCCATCTTGTTCTTGTAGTAGGCCTATCCTATCATCATCATCATCAAATGCATCATCTGCTGCAGGATTATGCACTTCACCAACAGCAACACCCAAATCAGCATCAACTAGACCCTCCATACCCTGTACAACTTCAGGTTCAGGTTCTTCTTGTGGATGTTGGTTTAATAAATGTTTCCTGTAAGAGTTGAAAGTGGTAAATGACGAAGGACATCCACCTTGACCACATACCAAATGTAGATGGGGCATGTCAAACAACGCATGAGTTAGCACTTGCACAAGGGCTATTCTGCTAGCACCCAAAAGAGAGCAAAACTTGGCACTTTAAGTGCACAACAGTCAGCTCCTTTGGGTGCTAGCAAAGTAGCCCGGGTGCAAGTGCTAACTCAGCACTTCGAGTGCAGTCACTATGCGAGCTCCTATAAAGTGCTAAAATTGAATCTTTAAGTGCTAAATTTAGCACAACAGTCAGCTCCTTTGGGTGCTAGCAAAGTAGCCCGGGTGCAAGTGCTAACTCAGCACTTCGAGTGCAGTCACTATGCGAGCTCCTAAAAAGTGCTAAAATTGAATCTTTAAGTGCTAAATTTAGCACTTTTTTTTTTAGTGTATTAGTATTACGTAGGGGTGTTACACAAAGACTAAGATCGACTTTAAGTTGGACTTAGCTATGGAAGGCCTTTCATGCCACTAGTTTCTCTAACCATTCCTGGCATTGTTTTCTGAAAGGGACGTACAAATCGTGGTCACAAATCTATAGAATTAATTTTTTAAAAAGATCATTATTGAAGGAAAAATATTATCTAAAGATCATTATTTAGAGACCAATAGTGAGAGCAACCAGTGGCTTGAACAGCCTGCCATAGTTAAGTCCAACTTAAAGTCGATCTTAGTCTTTGTGAAACACCTCCTTTGGTCTCATTGTTCATTCCGTCTAGCCCACACACCAGCGATCTCTACTGAGGAAAGCCCATGACAAGCATCTCACCCTGATGGCCGAAGCTGCCAGTGGTCAAGGCATTGACCGCCATCTTCTTGGCCTCTACATCCTGTCTCAAGAAATGGGATTGCCCATACCAGACCTGTTCATGGATAAGGCTTTCGTTCTCAGGTAAGGGTTGAAAATAAGGATACAAAATAAAGTGCCACGGTTTGATTTCTTGTAATGTTTAGGTTTAAAGCCAAATAGTTATGGTAAATTTTACTCAGAATTCTTTGATTTTTTAAAAATAATTCCCCCCCCCCAATGTTGCCGTCTACATCAACGATTCTAGTATTTTTATGTCAGTATCAATTTTGATAACCCTATGACAGCTTTGATCGTAAGAAAAATAATTTTGAATAAAGATACTTTCGATATTAAGTATGTTCAGTATTCCTTGATAGTTGCCAACGCTCAGGACAAAGAAGACCCCAAAAGGCCTACCTCTGACTTGAAATTGAATATAAAGTTGAAATTTTAAATGTTATTTTCCACAGGGGCGGATCCAGCCACAACAAAAAAAGGGGGGGGGGGCAATTTTTTTTTTTGTGAGGAAATATTTAGCGGCAACTCCGCCAGTCAATGAATAAGCGGGGGGGGGAACACTTTTTCTGATTTAAAATAAGCGGGGGGAGATTTTTTGATATTTTAAATATATTTTTTGTCGGGGGGGGCGCTAAAAAAAATTGTAAAAGGTAAAATTATTGTTACGGTCTTATTTTTTTATCAATTTTGTTCTTGCTGGGGGTCGGGCCTGTCGCCCCCCCCCCCTGGATCTGCGCCTAATTGTCAATTTGGATACTTGTTTATCACTGGTATAATGTTGCCTATTGTGCACATAATAGACAGACATACAGACAGACTGAGAGACAGACAATGTCGTATAGATATAAGTGTGTGTGTATTGGTAATTGTGTTTGGTTTGATCGTATTTCAACCATTTATCTCGTTACAGTGGAGGAGGGGGTAACTTTCCGCTGTCTACCAGTACATTAGGCTACACACCAGGGGTTGCAGCCATGTCCCCTATGAGACAGGATGGGTACATGTGCTGCTATACCATTGGCAAAGAGCAGTAAGTAATTTGAATCATCTCTTTCTGCCTATGTCTGTTACTCCTGACTCCTTTCTCTCCCCCTCTCTCTCCCTCCTCTTCTCTCTTCTCTCTCCTCTTCCCTTCTTCCTCCATTCTATGTGGCTCTCGCTGCCCCCTCCCTCTTTCTACATGTATCTCTCTCTCTGTCTTCCTCTGTCTATGTCTCTCTCTCCCTCTTCATATGTCTGTCTCCCCCACTCTCTCTGTCTCTCCATGTCTCTGTCTCCCCTCCCTCCCCCCCTCTCTCTCTCTCTCTCTGCGGATGAGCTTATTTAGACTGCTGAGAGCAGAAGTATATGTATAAAGCTTCGAATACGAACTGATTGATTGATTAATTGATTGATTGATAGTTTGATGGATTGTGATGGATGTTCTATTCATTTGTTGATTGATAAATTGATTTGTGATGATATTGAATGACTGATGAAGTTTTTTAAAAAGAGATAACTTAATGATTTGTTGATGGATTAATTGACAGATCAGTCAATCACTGATTTGTCAAAATGATAAATTATTTGGGTTCGTTCATGTATGGATATATTGACAGATGACTTTACTAATTGATGAATCCATGAACAGGTCGATCGATTAATAATTGCTGAATAAATAGATAGAAACATTTATCCCCTCTTCTGGTATCCAGGCTCGAGTTCACTGTGAGTTCCTTCAAGAGCTGTGCTGAGACCAATCCTAACCTATTCTTCCGCCAAATCACCCTCGCCCTCAACAAAATGGCGAACCTACTCCTATCTGCCAAACTTTAAAATCAACAGAAATATTTGACATCAGAATTGAAATTCCTAATGTCTTATGATTATTGTACTGTTATATAATTATCTTAAGTTGATTGCGCAGATTGTTGGTTGGAGATGAACTAAAATAATTTAATTTCATGACATCAAATTCAGAAAGAATTATGATAGCCATCCGTTGCACGAACACACATGCATAGTCACACACGCGTGCACAAAATAAAAATGGAAATTCCCATAAAACTTGCGATGAAGAAACAAAATTTCCAGTGTGCTTTTTATAAATCAAAGTGATTTATCCGATATGCCCTTGAACAAAATTAATTTTCTTGTATTGTTATGTTATTATTCGTTGGTATCTTGGCAATAATTACCGGTATTGCAGGAAAAGAATCTTTTGTTATAGAGCTGACAACTACAGACCTTTCATGGTTATGAAATAATATATGTAATCTTTAATAATATAGATTACATATATTAATAATATATGTAATTGAATTGAATTGAATGTTTCTATGCTGTGGTGTGGTAATTCATTTATTTGACTTTCAGTCGAGTGTTTAAGGGTTCCAGCCAAAGTCTTTTGGAAGGCATTAATCTTAATTTGCCACTCTCCACCCAGGCGTAGGGTAAAGGCAACATGGTAGGAACAACAAATCACTGACATCCCAAGAGCCTTGGTGTAAAAGCGTGGCTAAATTTACTACTTTAGTTAGGGTTATAAATAAAGCTGGTCTATGATGGATTTTTCTTTTTTGAATGCAATGTGAACATTTAAATGTGCTTTGTTTTACTTTAAATATTATAGCTTTCATCAAGAATACGTCATGTATTAAAAGCGGTTGGCAGCTGGAAATATAATTGATCAATTTTGTTTATATTTTGAAATTGAAAAGGCTTTAATGGAAATATTCCATCCTGTTTTCCCGAATTCATGGATTGACAGTTCGCTGACTTACACTAGTTTATCTTCTTTTACATACTACGGAAAGTCAATCTAATTGCTGAATACCAAATCATATTCGTTGTGATCATTATTTTTCGCTCACGGTTGATCATAATTTCACTCGTATACTAGGTCCATAATTTTTTCCTAATATATAGTAAACTATACCCCAGATTCCATACGCAAGATTATGAATATCTTCAATGTATTATGATGTATATCTTGTTTATCTTCTTTTGATATTTGTTTAAGGAAAGTAAATCTAATTGCTAAAGATCAAATGGTATTCGTTGTGATCATTTTCGCTCAAGGTTGATCATATTTCACTCGTATTCTAGGTCCATAAATTATTCCTAATATATAGTGAACTACCCCAGATTCCATACGCAAGATTATGAATATCTTTAACATACATCATGTATATAATAAAGATGATATGTAATATTTCAGATTATGTAACCCGTTTCAGTGTATTGTATTTCGTTTTGTTAAGAATAGAACTTTTTTCTTCTTCTTTTATTGAGAAACTATTAAAACAATGAACTGAAATGTAACTGCAATAAACTACCGTTCTGGGATCCCAGAGTCTTTTAATTGTTGTTAAGTTTCAGATGTTCTGCTGCCTCCGCCCTTGCCCCCACCATTCCCATTCGAATTGAAAGACCAGTGGTGAAGATACAGACATAATGCGCAGAGGGGCATGTGTCCCTAGAGAGAGAGAGAGAGAGAGAGAGAGAGAGAGAGAGAGAGAGAGAGAGAGAGAGAGAGAGAAAGAGAGAGGGAGGAACTTTGAGACAGAGAGAGAGAGAAAGAGAGGGGGACTTTGAGAGAGAGAGAGAGAGAAAGAGGGGGGGGGGGAAGAGAGAAAGAGAGAGAGAGAGAGAGAGAGAGAGAGAGAGAGAGAGAGAGATGGGGAGGAAGAGAGACTAGAGAGCGGGAATAAATGAGAGAGAGAGAGAGAGAGAGAGAGAGAGAGGGGGGGGGGGGGTCAACGTAAACATGGTTAGATTATTGTATCCTCTTTCCCAAAATCACCGAGCCCGATCGCCTTGTTCTTGTTCTTTTACTTTTGTGATGTTTCTCTGCAATGAAACTCGAGTTCACAATTTTTACTTATTATGAATAAGTACAAAATTTGTACTTTTTCATAATTTATATTTAATAAACATCCCGGCCCGCTAAACATCCCGGCCCGCTAGAGGGCGGCCACCCACGTACATTACGATTTCTATGCACAATTATTATTGCACACAAATCTATGACAATACCGTACGGCGCAAAACACAATTGGAATATATTTTAGCCGGAAAAGGTATTTCATTTAAACCCTCTTTATCAATAGGGGAGGGGATTTTCGCCTATATCACAGATGAATTGAGATGAATTTAAAGTTGAATGCATGAGCAGCGAATTTTTTAGGGTCTCTTCAGCGTACTTCATTTAAAAAATAATAATTAGGAAATACACCTGGACCATAAGCAGTGGCGTAGACAGGTTCGTACACCTGGGGGGGGGGGATGACTCAGGGGCGGGTCTAGCTTTTTGCTAAGGGGGGGGGGGTTGACCAATAATGACGATGCGGAGCATCGTCCACGAGCCGCGAAGCGGCGAGCCGATTTTTTTTTGGGTGTTTATTTGAACCCCGTAAGTGATGTTTTCCTGGCATCTATTAACACAATGGAGACCATAAAAAGCAGTGCATGATAACGTCTTTTTAAATCAAGTAACAGTTAAATACACAGTTATATCCAGAGTTATCATGTGTTTGGTTAAGTTACCAGATGAGTTGCATATCTTCTCACAATATTTGCACTTGAAAGGGTTTCTCTCCAGCGTGCGTTCTTTTTTCTTTTTTTTTCTTTTTTTCTTCTTCTTTTTTTCTCCTTTTTTTTTAGTTTGTTTTTTTTGGGCCGCCCAAGGGGGGGGGGGGTTTAAACCCCCTACCCCCCCCCCCCCGTAGATCCGCGCCTGTTTAATCTTGTGGTTATCTTGTGGTTTCCAAACCACAAGATAACCACAAAATACTTGTAAGATTTTCTTTTTTTTACCGTCTGAATTGGCTTTCACCGTATGAATGCGGCTAATAACAATAAACACAATTACAATAATGATGAGGATTATTATTATCATCATCATAATTATTATTATTATTAATATTATAATTGTTATCATTATTATTATTACTATTATTATCATCATTATGACTTATTAAGTAAGCAAATATCATTCCCAAAAACCTGGGGGGATGATTGTACATGCCACCCCCCCCCCCACCTTGTGAGGTGGGGGGGATGCATCCCCCTCATCCCCCCCCGTTGTCTACGCCCCTGACCATAAGTCTTGAAATGAGTAATACACCATTACTCCAAACGACAGAAAAGGCTTAGGCTTAGATAATGACTTTGAATGAGCTTGGACGATACCATTTTTTTTTTTTTTTTGGAGGGGGGGGGGGGGGGGTGCTCATAAATGCATCGTAAATTGCAATTCATGATCACAGTTACGGCTGAATTTACTGCTGGAAATTCAAGAGTGAAATGAAAGTTGAAATTGCAAACGATAGGCAGAATTCAGTATCTGATCAAGGATTCTCTGGCCGGGGCATATGTTAAGTGCTGACTGCTGACAAGCAACAACAAAACAACAACAGCAATTACATCAGAGAGATGATAAAGCAAAGAAAAAAATTATCATATTTTTCCGAAAGACTCATTAATATGCACAAAATTAATATGTACACTTCTTTCTTTCTTTCTTCTTTTACTTTAATTCCTATGTACCTGCCCCCCCCCCCCCACTCAGTGTTATTTAGGGTACGCATATGCATGTTCCCTCCTTTTGAAAACACCCCCTAAGTCCGTGTGTGTAAAGTCAATACGGGCCGGATAGTAGCTAGGATAACTACCCCTACCACCAAGTTCTCCCCATAGAGATATGGTTCTCCCCCTTCTCCATGCCCCCCCCCCCCGATCCGTATATGCATGCTGCAGTTCGAGTTCAACATCTATAATTTACTACCTTATAAACCACAATTACATATAGGTGTTTACATATATGTTTATACTTCTCTCTCTCTCAGTTTCTCTCTTTCCGTTATAATTTTGTTGCTGTTATTACAATAAAATGACAACGTACAAACTCTCCGTCTACTCTAGATATTATGGTCGAGATTGCGTTATTGATAGTTATGCGCATGCGTATTAATTGATCGATGCATGACGTAATGCTGATAACGCCTTCTTACACCGCATCCCATCATGTGTGTATAATATGCCATGCATATATGCTCAGCTCAGATAGATGCGACTGCAACAGGGACATCATCGAAAGTCCATCATCAGCCACTAGGTGATTTTCCACTAGGTGTAAGTACACTCTACTAATTAACTATTTAATAATTCATAATCTTAACCCGAATATTTTCTTTTAGCTTGGAAAGCGCAAATGTTTCGTTTTTGTTATAATAAGAAGAAAGAGAGAGTGAACCTTGACCGTCGCTGCATGCGCGGCTGCCAGCGCCAGAGCTGAGGCTGAAAGGTACCGTTAAGTTTGCGTCTCCGTCGCGGTCCGGCGATCCTCGGGCCGGGTCGATTCCGTGGGTATGGAGCCAACTGCAGCTTCACTAAGTAATATAATATTAGCATGATTAGTAATTTAGTATTACTATAGTATTAGCCAAACTCCGCTACTCTCATTCTATATATTCTGATTTTTATGTGCTTTACATTTATACAAAAATGAATCACTGAATTCATTGAATTGTGTTGCACTTGCAAGTTGCAGTCTGTCTGTGAATGTGACAATTTGTGATTGCTATGTCATTATGATAGCATTCACAATCACACACATAACATATTTATTTTGTATACCTTGGTGTTGTTTCTTTCTAGATCTAGACTCTATTTGTTGCATGTGTGAGTTATATTGAACTTTGAATAAATTAAGCTTTTGTTTCAGTGTTTTTCATAATTCATTTATTTTGCAGCAGAGATTGTATCTTATTTGTTTTGTAATTTTGTATCAACTTCACATCAACGCATACACGTACATGTACATTCACCAATTTCCCATGTTTATATGTATCTGATCTCAACAGTTCATCGTCATGACTCACTTGTTCAGTGGAGTGGACTTGTACTTTAAATTATATCTCTTTTTGAAATCATTACTTTTCCATATTTCTCTAATTAGTTTTTGCCAAAGCAACTGGATATATAATAAACATGGGATTACTCATTATGGGAAGTCTACCCTGATATTAAATTGGTTATAGTAAAGGCAACAAAAAAAGAACATAAATTGATCAGTTATAGTTTGAGTAAAATTATAGAGATAAAGTTTTGATCAATCAGAATTAAATTTGCAACTCCATGACGTACATGTACAGAGTGAGTACCTTTCAAGCATTTCTCAAATTTTTGTTTGTACACAAATGTTCAACAATTTCCATTTCATTGGTTGTTGATGAAGAGTTGGATGGGTCATGATAAAACATGGTTTCATGAAAAATAAAATGTAATGATTTTGTTAGTATAGTTGAGGCTTAGAGCAAATGGGAGAGGTCCTTGAACACATGTACTGTACATCACAGAGAAGCCAATTTCCTGTAATCAATTATAAAACACAGGAAGTTCATTACTGTCTAATGTCTTATTTATTACTTTTTCTCACTTTCACAGATTTTTCTGTGTAATGCTTTTAAAACCATCGTAACATCAGATTTGACGTCCATTAATAAGGGCATGATGCCCCACCCCTATAAATCTGGTCAAATGAAATAACAGCAAAACAGGAACAACAATAACAAATAATTAGTAAAAGAAGAAGAAAAAATGCAGAAAAAGAAATCATAGAAATCAGTTGGTGAAAACTTGAACAATTTAACTGTTTAGAATTTGAAAGTAATGAATGTTTAAAATTGTGAAAATCGTGACATTAAAATCTAAGTTGGCACTTGGCAGCTTTGTGATTTCTATGGTGAGTGCCTCTATTTATATTACTAAATCCCTACTTTTGATGTTCAGCAGGGTTTCATATAATGTACATGTATAATGTGGATGAAGCTGTAAAATTATATGTTTTATTTTAATTGTATGTTTTAGGTACAGAGATTTAATAAAACTTCTTATTTTTAGCAGGTACTTTTCTTGACCAATTTCCTGTCCTTTCTTGCTCTTACATGTATCATTAACTTAATATCTTGCTTGGATTCTCCTTTCAATACCTTTATGTGGTGTTAAGTTCTCAGTGAACCCTTCTCTATTTAAAGAAAGAGAGAGTGACATGGTAACTGCATAGACTAATATTGACCGTCCATTATTATTCATGTTTGTGTTTGTGTATAGTCCACATCCCAGAATGGAATCAATAGTCTTATTTCAATGCGTCTTGGAAGAGAGATCTAGAGAGAGAGAGAGAGAGAGAGAAAGGAAGAGAGAGAGAGAGAGAGAGAGAGCAAGAGACCTAATGCGAAATGTACACCTTATTCAGATATAATTGATTGGTCATTTAAAGTAATGGGAAACATGATCAAATAAGATCGGATTAAATTAGTAATCACTGTGCCATGGCGAGAGCATTTGATCAGCTTTCCATAATCCTCAGCGCACACTTTTGATGGTCCTCGCTTAGTCTGCAAGCGCAGACTGCAATTTGACACTTGACCACAATTCCTAAATCCTTGAGCAGAGCCTAGATCTGTCACTTTCTGGCTGTGTCAGGAGCGGCTAAAGTACAGAGTCTTTTGTAGTCTCATGGTGCAGACACTGTTACGCACAACGACTGACAACAGATTGTGCCTAGTCATGACTGACCATTAGCATCATTTAGGACATCTGTCTCATGACATAATAGAGGGTTTCGTAACACTGTCTGCCCTTGTATACCAATCAATAAGATCTCCTCGGTAAGTTCAAATAGTTACGTGTGGCACTAAACAATAGGGGAAGGGGAGTTGCTAGGGTGAGCCAAATTAATCCTTGGGTGAACAAGAGCTCCTGTCTTGGAGTATGTGTACACACCTGTGAGCTACTGAAGATTTGATAATGGAAAACAAATAGATAATGTTTTTAAATAGCACATGGAATGTTTAGTTTTCAGGGGAGGGGGGGGGGGGGGGGGTGGGCAACTGGGAAGCATTATAGGTGTACGGAGTGGTACAGTTATACCATGTTATGCTGTTTTCACACTGGCAATATTTTGCTTAACCCCGTACTATAGGTGGGGTTAAGGGGGGGTCTTAGCCCCACCTATAGTACGGGGTTAAGCCTATTCCACTTTCTGTTCAGACTGGTTTTTACCAAAGTGGGCTAAAGTTGGCTAACCCCACCTATAGTACGGGGTTAACTAACCCTGCAAAATAGCAGGGCTAACTCCGCAATTGTGGTGCTAACTCCTGCTAACCCCGCAATTGCGGTGCTAAGCAAATGAATGAGAACAGAAACGAAAAATAGTCCGGTACTACGCAATGGAGCGTATCGCAGCTGGCCAGATGCGAAGTATGTCCTATCATAACATACACGATATCCGGGGTTAACGAAATGCAGTGAGAACAGCGGGAATTTTCTTATTCCGGAATAGGCGCTAGTACGGGACTAAAAACAGCGAGTGTGAAAAGCCAAAAAAATAGTTCGGGGTTAAGGATAGTACGGGGCTAAGCAAAGTATGGGGTTAAGCAAAACCAGTGTGAAAAGAGTATTAGAGTTGCTAGGATTAACAATGAATATTATCTTAGAGAGAGAGCTGATTTGATGAGATAACCACCTGTCAGTGACCTTGCTGGGAGGTCTAATCCCTCCTGGCCAAGCTAGTGCAGTTGGGCTTTAAGATATGATTTGAAAGTTCTTGTATCACATCCAAAAGAGTTTAACCTGTATCAGTTTCGATGTCTAGAGTTCAGACATCTTCTGACAACAATCCTGATGAAACTTTTACATACATGTACTTCTTTTTAGATATTATTCGTCTTTTTCTCTCCAAGTCTCCAAGAGATGGTAGATTGAGGGGCTACATGTATGTGTAATTGTGTACAACCCATGTAATAAGTTAGTTTGTATGAAAGTGGAGATTTTACATGTATGTAAGAAAATTAGAAAGTTTGAAATAAATCAAACCAACAATAACTTATGAATGCTTGAAATATGAGATCATTTTAGCTACGCAAAGCTCAAATTGTCAATTTTGTCAGTGGATTGTGACATAGACACGGACACCTCTCCCGTATTCGTGTACAAAAATATCATAAATTTCTGCTTTTCTCCCAAGTGCCTTCTCCCTTGGAGCACTTCTCAAAATACAGGTTGATTATGGATAGTATATTATTGTCCTCTAATTAAGAGGAAAAACTCTCACGAGTCATACATTTTTTCGCAAAAAATTAAATCTTGGTCATTTTTTGTGTTGGAACAAATTGGAAAGTTGTCTTCTACTTCATCACAGAGACATTACAGATTCAGCCAATTTGAAAAGCCCATAACATGTACTGTGATTGCAACTTTCAAAAATTCATAACTTTCTCATTTTCTGTCCAATTTCATTCAAAGTTTCACAAATAATAAATGCTTCTCTGAGTTTCCTGCTTTCTTCTAGAGCAGTTTCTTATCAAGGTTGGATTTCCCTTTAATATGCGATTATGCGTAATAGGAATACAGTTCATTATTATTTTATTAAGACTATATGGTTTTAGCTGCACTGTTATTGAAGTACGAGACGAGTACAACAACAACATTTACAAAACTCACAGTATAGTATCCATACACTTCCATAAAGTTCACTATCTGTACTGAACTTTGTGTTTTTACGATCATGCAATACTTCTTTTTCAATAGCTCCAAATCCCATCCCGATAAATGCTTTGTTGATGGTACGCTTGATGCGACAATAAAAAGATCCCACCTCCCTGCCATAATAGATGCACTACCTGCAGTGAATGGTGAGCGAACCTGACCCAGAAATATGCTGTCACCTGGTATTGAATCTGTAATGATGAAAAATGAACAGTGGTGGAATTTTCAATTACGCTTTGTTGTTGGAATTGAAAAGATGATCCTTATCGTGCCTTTCAATAGACCTTTTTGTGCCGTTCCTTTGTGTGGTTTTCAAACAAACTGTTTTTTATGATGAGATATTTTCGTACTATGATGCAATTTTATAAATGTCATCATACATCTTTAATTTCTTTATCATTCCTGCCAAGAGACCTTTTTGTGATTTTCTTTTGTGGGGTTTTCAAACAAACTGCTTTTTACACCGGTAATGAGATATTTTCATACTGCTGTATGATGAATGTCATCATACATTTTAAATTTCTTTATCATTCCTGGCCAGATACCTTTTTGTGACGTTTTTGTGTGTTGGGTTTTCAGAA